CATAACTGTGTTCCAATAAAACTATTTACAAACATGGATGGTGGCCCGGATTTGGCCTGTGGGCCTAACTTGCTGACCTCAACCAGTTATCTTTTTCAAAAAAATATCTTAATTGAGATATAATTCACATACCATACAGTCCACCTATTTAAGGTATTCAATTGAATGGCTGTGGCTGTTAGTATGCCCAGAGTTGTAAAACCATCACAACAATCAATTTTAGGACATTTTTATGACCCCAGAAGGAAACCTTGCACCTGTAGCTGTCACCCTACTGTTCCCTCATCCCCTGATGTGCCCCAATTCTAGACAGTCTCTAATCTACTTTCTGTCTCTATGTATTTGCCTATTCTGGACATTTTGTATAAATGGGATTATATAGTATATGATACTTTGTGACCGGTTGATTTCACTTAGCATTATGTTTTCAGGGATGATCCATGTTCCATATATATCAGTATTTCATATATTTTTATTGCCAAATAATATTCCAGCAGTGTGTGAGAATTCCAGTTTCTCCGCATCCTCACCAACGCTGGTTATTATCAGTCTTTTTGATTATAGCCATCATAGTAAGTGTGAAGTTGTTTCTCATTGTGGTTTTGATTTGCATTTCCCTGCAATGCGGTTAATGATGTTGAGTATTGTTTCATGTGCTTGGTGGCCATTTGTATGTCTTCTTTGGAGAAACGTCTATTCAGATCCTTTTGTTAATTTAAGAAATAGTTATTTATCTTACTGGAGAGTTTTAAGAGTTCTGCATGTATTCTGGATACAAGCCCCTTGTCAGATACATGATTGGCAGATATTTTCTCCTACCTGTGCATTGTCTTTTCACTTTCTTGATAGTATCCTTTGAAGCACAAAAGTTTCAAAATTTCAATAATGTCCAGTCTGTGTTGTCAGTTTTTTCTTGTGTTGCTTTTGCTTTTGGTATAGTATGTGAGAAACCGTTGCCTGACCCAAGAACATGAATATTTTAGCTTTTATATTTAGGTCTTTAATCCATTTTGGGTTAATTTTTGTGTATGGTGTGAAGTAAGGGTCAAAAATGAATTTTTTGCATGTGGATGGATATCCAGTTGTATCAGCACCATTTGTTGAAAACCCTTTTCTCTCCACCTTTGAACTGTTTTGGCATACTTGTCAAAAATCAATTGATCATAAATGTGAGGGTTTATTTCTACACTAAATTCTATTCCATTGATCCATATGTTTGTCCTTATGCCAGTACCACACTGTTTTGATAACTTTAGCTCTGTAATAAGTTTTGAAATTGGGCAGTGTGAGTCCTCCAACTTTGCTTTTATTTTTCAATATTATTTTGGCTGTTCCAAGTCACTTGCTTTTCCATATGAATTTTAAGATCAGCTTGTCAATTTCTCCAAAGAAGTCAGCTGGGATTTTGATAGGAAGTAAGTTGAATCTGTAGATTAATTGGGAAAGTATTGCAATCTTAATAATATTGCCTTCTGGTCCATAAACATGGATGTCTTTCCATCTAGTTACATCTTCTTTAATTTTTTCAACAATATTTTGTAGACTGCAAGGTTTTGCACTTTTTTTGTAATTTATTCCTAAGTATTCTTTTTGATGCTTTTATAAATGGAATTTTTTTTTAAATTTCATTTTTGTTCATCACTACTGCATAGGAATACAATTCATTTTTTATCGTGATCTGGTATCCTGCAACCTTGCCAAATTAGTTCTAATAGTTTTTTAGTAGAGTCCTTAAGATTTTGTATGTACAAGATCATATCATCCGCAAATAGTTTTACTCCTTCCCTTTCAATCTGGGTGCCTTTTATTCCATTTCCTGCCTAATTGCCCTTGTTAGACCCTCCAGTACAATGTTAAATAGAAGTGATGAGGAGGGACATCCATATCTTGTACCTGATCTGAGGGGAAAGCATTCAGTCTTTGGCTATTAATGAGGCTGATGTTAGCTGTGGCTTTTTTGTAGATGCCATTTGTTAGTTGAGGAGGTTCCCTCTGTTTCAAGTTTGTTGAGTGTTTTTATCATGAAGGGGGTGTTGCATTTTGTCAAATGCTTTTCTGAATATATTGAGATCATCATGTGGTTTTTGTCCTTTATTCTATTGATATGATGTATTGTATTGATTGATTTTCATATATTAAATCAACCTTGCATTGTTGGGATAAATCCCACTTGGTCATGGTGTATACTTATTTTTTTATATATTGCTGAATTTGATTTGCTAGTATTTTCCTAAAGATTTGTTTGTGTATGTTTGCAAAAGATAGTGGTTTATAGTTTCTTTTCTTGCAGTGTCTCTTATCTGATTTTGGTATCAGGGTAATATTGGTTTTATGCAGTGAGCTGGGAAGTATTCTTTCATCTTCTGTTTTTTGGAAGAGTTTGTAAGGGATTTATGTTTATGGTTCTTTAAGTGTTTGGTAGGATTTACCAGTGAAGCCATATGGGCCTCGGCTTGTCTTTGTTGGAAGTTTTAAAATTATTAATTCAATCTATTTTCTTGTTATAAATTCAGATTTTTTTTTTTTTTAAGATTTTTTATTTTTTCCTTTTTCTCCCCAAAGCCCCCCGGTACATAGCTGTGTATTCTTCGTTGTGGGTCCTTCTAGTTGTGGCATGTGGGACGCTGCCTCAGCGTGGTTTGATGAGCAGTGCCATGTCCGCGCCCAGGATTCGAACTAACGAAACACTGGGCCGCCTGCAGCGGAGCGCGCGAACTTAACCACTCGGCCACGGGGCCAGCCCCTATAAATTCAGATTTTTGTGGGGTCAGTTTTGCTAGATTGTTTTTAGGAATTTGTCTATTTCATCTATCTAATTTGTTGGCCTATAGTTGTTCATAGTATTTCCTTATAATCTTTCTTATTTCTGTAAAGTCAGTAGTAATGTCTCTCTTTCACTCCTGATTAAAGTAATTTGAGTCTTTTCTCTTTTTTCTTCATCAGTCTAGTTAAAGGTTGTGAATTCTGTTTGATAATTTCAAAGAACCAACTTGTGGTTTGTTGATTTTTCCTCTTCTTTTTCTATTATCAATGATCTTTTAAAGATATTAAAAGTAAGAAATTATTTTTTATATTTACCCACATATTTATCATTTTCAGTGATTTGTATTTCCTTCTACAAATCTAAGTTTCCATCTGGTATCATATTCCTGCTTGAAGAACTTATTCTTTTAAGAGATCTGCTAGTAATGAATTCTCAGCTTTGGTTGTCTGAAAAAGTCTATTTTGCTTTCATTTTTGAAAGTTATTTTGCTGGATAAAGAATTTTAGGTTGATACTGTTGTTGTCTTTCAATACTTGAAAGACATTGCTCTATTGCATTCTGCCTTGAGTGTTTTCTGATGAAAAATATGCTGTTAATCTTATCTTTGTTCTTCCTTATCCATTTTTTTTTTCTGGCAGTTTTCAAGGTTTCCTCTTTCTCTTTAGTGTTTAGTAATTTGTGAGGTGTGTAGGGTTTTTTCCCTGCATGGGATTCATTAAGCTTTTTGAATATGTGGTTTGTTTTCTTTGATTAATTTTGGAAAACTCTCAAACATTTTCTCTTTAAATACTTTTTCTACCGTGTTCTTTCTTTCTTCTCCATTACTGAGAATCCAAATACATGCATTTTAGTCTGTTTGATACTCTGAGAGGTTTTGGATGCTCTGGTTTATTTTTTTTTCACTGCTTTTCTTCTTCGTGTTTTACTTTGGATAATTTCTTTTGACCTAACTGATTCTTTCTCTCTGTGTTGTGTGTTCAGAAGCCCGTGTATGTTATTCTTTATCTTCAACATTATGACTTTTTAAAAAGTTTTTATCATTTCCATTTGATTCTTTTATAGTTTCTGTCTCTGTGGAAAGTCCCCATATGATCATGAATTTTCTCCAGCTTTATACCACATCTTTTAACACATTAATTATATTTGTTTTAAAGTTCCTATAAATAGTCCAGCCTGTGGGCCTTTTTGGTTCTGAGTTTGTTGACTACTTTAGTTCTTGACAATGGGTCCTATTTATTTATTTTTTCTTGATCCTGTTATGTGTCTTATAAATATTTATTGAGCGTTGGATATTATATTTAAAAGAATAATAGAGACCAAGGTTAGTAGTATTTATGCCCAGAAATGTGCACGTGTATCTTTCTGTTAGGCCATTAGTGTGGGAGTTTTGAACCTATCTGGTGAGTAGTTGAGCTGAGTTTTCTGTTTTGTTATTGCTAGTTAATTTCAATAAGCCATAGACTTCAAATTTTTCCAGTGGCTTCAACCAACCTTTTCTTAGTATGTTATTTGGAGTACTGGAGGGTTTTTTCAGTGTTCTTGCTCCACTCTCAGCGAAATTTCAGCAAGCCCTGCACACCTGCACCACAAGGGAATCTCTCTCTGTGCTTTTCCTGGGCTCTCAGTGGTAGATTGCTGTTGTCTTAACACTTTAGTCAAGGCTCTGGTTAGGGGGGCAGGGAGGTGGGTATTTGTTCTCCTGTTGCAGCCTCAGTAGCAAGCAGGCCCTTTGTACCTGAGTGTCCGAGTGGGTGTTATTAATGTGTCTGCCCCTTCTCCCACCCTCCCTGCCTCCTTCTATCAAGAGAAGGAGCAAATATCCTGCTCCTCTTCCAGTAACAGCCAACCTTTGCCTTGTATTAGCGTATAAACCGGGGCCCATGCTGGTTCAGCCTTGCCCCCAGTAGCACATGGCTGCTTTTTCTTTTTCTTTCAGTGGCAGCTGACCTTTGCCAGTGACAGAGGGTGACAGATCCCTGCCCGTCACCCAGCAGCAGATGGCTTTGTTTCTACCCCTCTTTTAGTAGCAGCTGGGCTTTTCCTTGGGCAAGGGGTGTGAGGATTTCCTTCTTAGATGTTTAAAAATTATCCTTAATATCTTTTTCTAGATTGTATTTCAATGTTGTCTTTTTAGAAGATTAGTTCCTGATGAGTTGAGGCTGAATCTTAGATTTTTAGAGAAGGATGACTACTGTTTGGTTATTATAATATGCCAATGTGTTTTGTTCTTTTCCAGCTTAGGCTTGATTTCGGACTCTTTTCACATGTTTTTCGATAGCACTGCCATTTTGGCTGGATTGGCAGCGTCTGTTATTTCAAAATGGAGAGATAATGATGCTTTCTCTTATGGGTAAGACTTTTTAAAACCTTTTTATTGAAGTATAAGAAGTACAGAAAAATACACAAATCTCAAGCTCAGTGAATTTTCCTGAATAGAACACTTTTGTGTAACTGAACCTTTGAAACCCCCTCATGCCTCCTCATTCCTTCTCACACACCTCCCCAACTCCATGGATTAGTTTTACCTGTTTTTGAACAGTGTATAATTGGAATCCACAATCCGTACTTTTTTTTTTACATCTAAGTTCTTTTGCTTAGAGGTAGGGCATCTTAATTTTACGAAAAATTTTTAGGTGAGATTGTTACTAAGTAGGGGAATTTCTCAACTCTTAACCTGTTTTTTTTGGAAGAAAAAGTTTCAGTATATGCAGATGTTCATGTTTCTCTCTTCTTTTCTTTGGAGGCGTATTTTGCTGTTAATTTATTTAAAATCCTTATTTCTTAGTATAGTTTTATATCACATATCCACTTTAGCTCTGCTTTTATGTAAAATGCTTCTCATACTCTTGCTGAGTTTGGATAATTAATCAAATATTTGGGGAGTGTTTTTGTGTTGAAGGGACTATGTTGGAACATCTGGTCTCACTTCTGAGCCTAGCACCCTTAGAGGCAGAGTTTGCTGTTGCCATCTCTGATTGAAGGAAGTGATGGAGTTTCCATTATTTGATTTACTGTACCTGAGTGGGCTTTTTTGGGAGCTCTTTCCTGCTTTTCTCTCTCCCCTGCTTGCTTGCTGACTCTGTCTTTTTGCCCTTCCCTGCCTCTCCTTTGTAAGTGCTCTCTTCGAATCTCTCCTTTCTTCACTGTCTTTCCTATTTTCTTGTCCCCATCTTCATACTCATTTTCTCTCTCTCATCTCCGCTAAACTCCTTTCTCCCTCTCTTGTTCTTTCTAGTTACTTGGGCCCGTGCTCATGGTCTTCCTCTCTCCGTCTCCCTTCTACTCTCCCCTTCCTCTCTTTCTCTCCCCCTTACGTCTTGTCTCGCATTTTTTCTTTTCTCCTGCTTCCTCTGTCTACCCTTTACTGTTGTCTCTCTCAGGCTTTCTTATTCTTTCTCTCCCTCTCTCTTAACCTCCTCAGCTCTAGTTCTTTCTTCTCTTCCTTTCCCAGTCTCTCCATCCTTCTATCACTGATTCTTCTTCCCTGAGCGCCCCTTCTCTGTGCACTGTCTTGTTCTCTCCCTCTCTTGTTCACATCCACCCTCTTAGGTGCACTGTCTCTTATGCCCCTTGTTCTCTCTTACTTGTGCTCCTTCGTTACTTCCTCTTTCTCTCCAGCTTTGCTTCTGTTCTTGAGCAAGCACACACTCTCTCTTTCTTGCACACGCTCTTGTTCTCTTCAGATATTTATTGAGGGCGCACTATGAGTCGAGTCCTTGCTACTTCTAATGTTATAAAGATGAATAACATATGGCTTCTGCCTTTGGGGAACTTCTAGTCTGATGGGGAAATAGTTCTGTAAAAATACCTTAACTATACATTGTGACAAGTGCTAAAAGAGAGATAGATGAATTTCTGTGACAGAACTTGCTGATTTGGGGTATGTCCAAAGTGATATGGTTACTCGTGAAATTATAAAAAGTAAGACAAAAATACTAATTATACTGTTTTTATAGTATATAACAAGAGATCCTATATATCTATAAATTCACGCAGCTTGAAAGCTCAGAAAGGAACATTTTTATCTCACTATATAATCAAGTTTCTTAAGTATATTTTGAATCATTAAGGAAAGATTGTCTGTAAAGTTATTTTGTGTTGGAAAATTAGTAATTCATATATATTGTATATCAAAAATCCAATTGGAATATCTTATTCAACAATCTTTCTGGATCAACACTAAGTGACTATAAGAATTCCCCTCAGTTCCTTCATTCTTGGGGTATCTATTGTTTTCTGTTTAGAATGCGTAGTCTCCTGATATGAGATGGTTTTTAGGAATAGCTTTGAATACTTTCAGTGCTAGAGCAGGTTTTACTATTCAGCTTTAACTAGTTGATATAAGAGAGTAATATTCTTGCTACTTTTAAATTTCTTATCCTGTCTTTTCCTTATTTGCTTTTTTTTTCTTTTGAGAAGAGAAAAATTAGGGGAAAACTGATGTAACATTTGAAACTATTAATAATTGCTATAGTGGTAAGTAGCAGCAGTAGTAAAATAGGAGTGCCTCAAAATGGCACTGAATAGGCTAAGCCTGGGGATGAATCCCGAAACCCCCAATTATTATGATCACAATAGCAGAGTGACTGCAGCAGAAAAAACAATAGGAGGAATGTGAGAGGCAGCAAAGACTTTTCAGTATTTCTTTATATAAAAGTCGTCTTTGTGCTTTGTCGCACTCCTGCTTTTGAAATAGCAAAGCCAGCATAAGGTAATATACATCTGATAGCTGGATAGATACATATGTACACGCATATATACGTATGTACATACACTTGTATCTTTTTTTGCCCTAGCTAAAGAATTGAGATAACCATTGTACTTAATTAGGCAATAGCACATTCATGAATTATATGTTTTAATTCCAAGACTCACGCTGTCTAAGTAAACATAGTCATTTGTAAAGGCAAAGTAGGTCTAGTTTTCACAAGTTTTTCGTTTTAATTCTGCAACCAAGTTTAGCAAATACATTAAACCTAATTAAATCACTGTAGTCCAACAATTTCTCAGAATTTATGGAGCACCTACTTACTAAGCTAGGCATTAGGGACAAAAAAATGCCTGAAAAACATTCTTGCCTTTAATCTGGAAATCAAGTGGAACTCAAGGACAAAAGGCTTTCAATCAAGTATTAGCCATGGGATTAGAAGGGTGGGTTAAATGAAAGTGCTTTTTATTTTGGGGGCAGTAACCCTGCTGATATGTTAGATAAATTCCTAAGTATGGGTTCTGGAAAACAGGCTGTGAATTCCTTGAATTTAATAAACTTTGTCCAGAAAAAAAGTATATGCTTTGACAAATAATGTATTAATTTAATTCATTTGTATGTGTTGGCAGGTAGAAAAATGTGTTATTTCTGAGTGTAGCAATATATGCTATGTTGACAGGACAAGCTCTAACACAACTGGATAGAGTACATTTTAAAGAGTTTGTTCTCTTTACTTTAAAAATATCTTTACAGTAAAAATTGTATTATCTGGAAGTTAACATAGAAATCTAGAAAAAGTATTTTTGAGGCTCCTATTATATTAGGGATCAGAGTGATTAACTGCTGTCGGTACCCTTTGAATAATTTAATGTGTAAAACTGCCAAGTTAAAGTTGTTTCTAATGACTTTAACTAAGCCAAATATACCTTATGGAAAAATAAAATCTTTCCTCAATGCTTCACACAGGTAGGAAGCAGAAAGCTTCAGAAGTCCATGGAAAAAAAAGAGGTATTTTAAAAATAGTTTAATTAGAATTATGTGAGGCTATAATTGATTCTAAAAATAGATAACTGAAAAGTTTTTGCTAAATTTATTAATCTTAGAAAAAGAGTGATAGAAGTATAAATCTCAAGTTGTCTCTAGGATAATTCAGAAATAATTTTATTTTCCTTCAGATGAAAGCTTCACTTTCCAAGGATTTGAAAGCTGAAAGGTACAAAGCAGAAAGCTCCAGGAGTTCTTAGAAAAGAGGGAATTAATAAGTTATAAGAAACCCCTTTTTCAAGCGTTTTTCTTCTACTTTTTATCTTTGGATCCTTCCTTCTTTGCTCATTTGTCTGGTCCTGTCCTTCTTTCTCCATTGACAACTTGAGATTTGCATTTCTGTGAAAGGTCTTTATAAAACCTACTTACTCTAAGAAGTTCTTCTGATTGGCTTATAGAAATCTGTATATTTTATGGCATTCTGCTGTTAAACATAATTCATAATAATTAAATTCATTTCCTTATTTTTACATTATATGTACAATAAAACATACTATACTTTAAATACTGGGACTTTGCTGGCCACTTATAACCATATAATATGTTTTAGAATCTCAGAACATATGTAGATTTAGTATTTGATTTTTAAGAAATAAGTGAATAATTCAGTTGTTTGCTTTGCTCTTCTTTAGGTATGTTAGAGCGGAAGTTCTGGCTGGCTTTGTCAATGGCCTGTTTTTGATCTTCACTGCTTTTTTTATTTTCTCAGAAGGAGTTGAGGTATAGTAGATAATGATTAGAGTCTATAAATAACATTTTGTGTCATGCAAATGTTTATTAAATAAAGATACATGTGATAGAAGTGTGTTTTACACTATCATTAAGTATTTATTGATAACAGTATTAGACTAGATAAAATATTACTATTTTGTGTGTGTACAGGAGCTTACAAAATAATTGAAAAAATTAAGTATATGTGAAACTGCTTGGAATCAAAAACAATTCAGTAATATTGTTTTACAAGCTGTGAATGAAGTGTTGACACTATTAAAAGTAAAGGCACATGCTGTGTGGTGAGGTCCATTGGAAAGAGTTCTTAAAATAGAAACTGAGAGTTTTGCCAATGAATCTTTAATATTTGGTATATTGAAACAAATAAAGAGAAAATGTAAACATTAACAAATTTAAAATGAACAGCCGTATTTTAAGATACCCAGGAAGGATGGGTTTTAGACCAAATCTTCATGCTTTTAAATATTTCTGTTTATTTAATAATCGTTAATTGTTAACCTAACCTTTTCTGCAGTATGTGAGCACTGGTTTTATTTCTATAAACTGCTTTGGCGGATATTTTTGGAGTGATTTTAATTCTAAAAATAACTAAAAATTTTAAAAAATTGCTTTTTGTTTTTACCAGTTGAGCACTCAGAAATTTTATCAATGCAATTTGTTTGTATTATGTGTTTTCTAGAGAGCGTTAGCCCCTCCAGATGTACACCATGAAAGACTGCTTCTTGTTTCAATTCTTGGGTTTGTGGTAAACCTCATAGGAATATTTGTTTTCAAGCATGGAGGTCATGGACATTCTCACGGCTCTGGTATGATGGTTAGAGCCCTTTGTTTCTTCATTTTCTGGTTTCTGTCGTAATTATTCATTTTTGAAAATTGATAATTTTTAAAATTAAACTCTAAATTGGTTTTTAATAACAAAAGTAATCTGTTGATAGACTCTTATTAATGTCTTCCTGAAGTGTCCCTCCCACTTCTCCATGCCCCTCCATCTCGGCGCCTTCTCAGAGTTACACATGTTAGCAGTTTGGTGTGGATCCTTTCAGACCTCTGTAGCTCATCTGTGTAGTATGATACCATTTATATAAGACAAACAAGTAAACTCAAAAACCACAAGACAAATCTAGTTACTAAAAAATTATAGTGTATGTGGGTATGAAATTTACTATACAGTCTGTCTTTGAGATCCTTCTATTTGATATACATCTATCTACCTTTTCTTGTTAACAGACACATAAAACTCTGTGATGTGGGTTACCATGGTTTATTTAACAAGGCTTGTATGGATAGGCTTCACGTCATTTCTAGTTTGTCACTATTCCACATAAAGCATATCCTTGTGAACACTTGCAAGTGTTTCCAGAGTTGTGCTGTCCTTTACAGTGGCCATTAGTCACATGTGGCTATTTAAATTTAAATTTTGGTTCATCTCAAAGTGGTTATTTAGGAGTGTGTTTTTTAATTTTCTCATATTTGTGAATTTTCCTAATTTTCTTCTGTTGTTGATTTCTAATTTAATTGCGTTGTGATCAGATGACATACTTTTTTTTTTGGAGGAAGATTAGCCCTGAGCTAACTACTGCCAATCCTCCTCTTTTTGCTGAGGAAGACTGGCCCTGAGCTAACGTCCATGCCCATCTTCCTCTACTTTAGACGTGGGACGCCTGCCACAGCATGGCTTTTGCCAAGCGGTGCCATGTCCGCACCGGGGATCCAAACTGGCAAACCCTAGGCCACCAAGAAGCAGAATGTGCAAACTTAACTGCTGTGCCACCAGGCCAGCCCCAGACATACTTTTTTTATGATTTCAATTTTTTTTTCAATTTATTGAGTCTTGTTTTATGACCTAACATTTGGGCTATCCTGGAGAATGTTCATGTGTACTTGAGAAGAATATATATTCTGCTGTTGTTGGATGGAGTGTTCTGTAGATGTCTGTTAGGTCTAATTTGTTCATAGTTGTTCAATCTTCTGTTTCCTTGTTGGTCTTCTGCCTAGTAGGTTATTGAAGTCTCCAACTAGTATTGTTGAACTGTTTATTTTTCCAGTCAATTTTTTTAGTTTTTGGTTCATGTATTTTGTAGCTGTGTTGTTTAGTGCACATATTTTTATTATCATTATATCTTTCTGACAGATTGAGTCTGCTATTATAAGATGTTTTTCTTTTTCTCTCACAATAGTTTTTGGTTTATAGTCTGTTTTGTCTGATACTATGATAGCTGTTCTTCTTTTTCTTTTTTTACAACTCGCATGGTATATATACTTTTTTCTGTTTTGTGACTTTCAACTTGTTTGTATCTTCGAATCTAAAGTATATCTCATGTAGACAGAATATAGCTGGGTCATAATTTTTTTTATCAGTTTCGACAATCTCTGCCTTTTGATTGGAGTGTTTAAGCAATTTACATTTCATGTAATTACCACTAAGGTAGGTAATTACATCTGCCATTTTAATATTTTTTTCTACGTATTTTGTTTTTTTTTTTTTTAAGATTTTATTTTTTCCTTTTTCTCTCCCAAACCCCCCAGTACATAGTTGTATATTCTTCGTTGTGGGTCCTTCTAGTTGTGGCATGTGGGATGCTGCCTCAGCGTGGTTTGATGAGCAGTGCCGTGTCCGTGCCCAGGATTCAAACCAACGAAACACTGGGCCGCCTGCAGCGGAGTGTGGGAACTTAACCACTCGGCCATGGGGCCAGCCCCTATATTTTTTGTCTTTTTGTTACTCTATTCCTTGATTCCTGTCTTTTAAATGAAATATTTTTAGTGTACCTTTTTAATTCTTTTGTTGTTTCTTTTATATATTTTTGAATTATTTTCTTAATTATTGCCCTGAGGATTACAAGTAACATCTTAATTTAAAACAATCTAGTTCAGATTAATAGTAATTTAATAATACAGAAAAACTTTGCTTCATTATACCCCCATTCCCACCTTCCTTCTTTGTACTGTTATTGTCAAATTATTACATGTTTTTACGTTACAAACCCATCAGTACAGTTTTATAATTTTAGCTTTATGCAATGATCTTTTAAAACACATAGGAGAAGAAATGAGTTACAAATGAAAATATATGTTTATCCTCTCTTTCATAATTACCTTTCCTGGAGCTCTTTATTTCTTTGTGTGGATTTGGATTGGATTTTAGTTGAATTTAAAGTTTTGGTTGAATCTTTTTCTAACATTTGGTTTTGTCGTCTCACTGTCTTTTGGCCTCCAAGGTTTTTGTGGAGAAGTTAGTAGTTCATCTCACTCAAGTTCCCCTGTACATAAGAAGTCATTTTTATTTTGCTGTTCAACTTTCAAGATTTCTCTTTGCCGTTCATCAGTTTGATTATGAAGTCTCTAGTTTTGGCTATGTTTGAGTTTGTTCTACTTGGAGTTTCCTGAGATTCTTGAATGTGTAGGTTAATATTTTTAATCAAATTCGGGGAGTTTCCAGCCATTATTTTTTCAAGTATTTTTTCTGTCTTTTTTTTTCTCTTTTCTTTTTGAGATTCCTATTATGCCTAATTTGGTACACTTGGGGTTTCTGTAGCTCTCTAAGGCTCTGTTCACTTTTCTTAATTTTCTTTTTTACCCACTCCTCAGAGTGGATAATCTCTGTTGGTCCATCATCAAGTTTGCTGTTATTGCAGCTCAGATCTGTTGTGGAGCCCTTCTAAAGTGGCTATTTTATATCAGTCATTAGATTTTTTTTTTAACTTCAGAATTTCTGTTTGGTTCTTTTTTTGTAATTTCTAGCTCTTTATTGATATTCTTTATTGGTAAGTCATCATTGTTATACTGTCAGTCTTTAGACATGATTTCCTTTAGTTCTTTGAACATATATGTGATAGCTAATTTAAAGTCTATGTCTGTTAAGTCCAAAATCTGGTTTCCTTTCAGGAACATTTTCTGTTGGCTGGTTTTTTTTTCCTGTGTATGTGGCATACTTTCCTCTTTTCTTTGCATGTCTTACAATTTTTTTGTTGAAAATTGGATATTTTATACTAAAACAACTCTGGTATCACATTACCTCATCCTCTCCTCTCAAAGTTGATTGTTGTTGTTATTTTTCTTAAGTGACTTCCTTCCTGTGAAGGAATTCATTTCCTGTGATGTGTGGTCATTAAATTCTCAGAGCTTAGCTCTGAGTCCATTGAAAATAGAGGTTTTTTCAGGAAACTGCAAATTTGAACAAAATATTGACTGTGTTCTGGAGGTTGTGCTTTTAACAGAGCTTTGAAAGAAATCAGATCTCTCCATTGTATGCGGTGCTGCTGGCTTTTGGCAACTTTCAGCTGAGCTAGGGCAGGAGATGGAATGGGAATAAGCCCAAGTGAAAACATCAAAGACCCTGCTGCCTTACTGAGGTTTGGTGGTTTCTCTTGGATAGTTGCTTTTCAGTTCATTTTATGGTTTTGGTTAATTTCCAGAGTTCTGAAATGGTTGATTTCTAGTTGTGTTCCTCATATTTTCATTGTTTGAGAGGGAGAGCTAGTTTGCCAACATCTCCTCTTCACCATTCTGGAAGTTGATCTCCCCATTTTCATGATTTTTCATTTACTGCAATGCTAGATTTGATTTACTGGTATTTAAGATTTTTGTGAATATAAGTGATATTTTTGAATTAGGTAACATCCAGTCTTTTTCTATGCTTTGGAATAGCTGCTATAAGATGTTTCTTTGATGGTTTAGTAGTTTTTAGGTCTGCTATGGAGAGAGGTTTTTGCATTGTTTTTTCCTAAGGATTCTGCCTCCTTTAATGTAATTTTATTCATCCTTTTACCAAATGCAGCAGCTTCCTTGACTCTTCCTCAGTGTGACCATATGCATGCATCTTGTTTTATCTATGTTAGTGTGTGTAATGGTACTTTGCAAAGTTTTGGCCAAGATTTTTGTCTGTGTCATTCACTGCATTATCCCCAGTGCCTAAAATGGTGTCTGTAACATAATGTATTCCAAATAGATATTTCTTGAATGAATAAATCACATCTAATCTCTTAAATGTTTCTCACTTCTCACTTATTTTCATCTCCAGTAATGTCTGCCACTTCCCTCCATGCTTTCATTTCCTTTCTGTACTCCATAGTAGGAACTCAGTATTGTTTTAATCAATCGATGACACTTTTCACAAGTAAATGTTTATTGAATTAATCTGGTTTTAAAGCTAATTCTTTTCACTAATATCAGTATTATTGTAACCGTTAAATAATGTATTTTACATACCTTTTGTCGTAACACTCTGTTTTTTAGGCCATGGACACAGTCATTCCCTCTTCAACGGTGCTCTGGATCAGGTGCATGGCCATGGAGATCATTGCCATAGTCATGAATTGAAACATGGTGCTGCACATAGCCATGATCATGGTCATGGCCATGGACACTTTCATTCTCATGGTGAGTACAGCCTAAAGACTTTCAAATGGACAACCTTCCAAAGAAACAGAATGGTGTAGATTACTTTTCCTAGTTGATACAGTCTGTTAAAAAGATACTACAATCAACTTACTTTCTAATGAATCAGACTAAATGGTTCCCAGGGCTAGTTCATTTTTAGTATATAATGAAATTAACTTGGTATAAGGCAGTCGATATAGCTTTTTTTCAGGGACTGTATCATAATAAAATGCCACTATTTTAAGTGAGTGTGAGTGAATGAGGAACAATTGCATTTTAGCACATGAAAGTCATGATTTTTTTAAAGCATGATGAGGCCTTTTGTGCTATATATAGAGAGAGAGAGAGACTTATAAAAACACAACAGAGGTTTTCAATTTTTCACGTTTTCATTGTAATTTTGATATCATCTGATTTATGTCTACGTTCCCTTAGCTATCTTTATGTTCTAACTTACATAACATTGGGCACTAAATTATAAGACATTTTTCGACTTAATATTTTATTTTAAAATTATATTTTAAACAGTTTATTCATGAAATTTTAGAGTATAGATTAATAGAAGCTGCTTAGGTGATACAATTTGATTAATTTTAAATAAATTATATGCTTAAATATTGTCTGTACTTGCCACATAGAATCTTAAAGCTTTAGATGTGAAGATATGAAAGGGCGCTTGGAGATTGAGTACTAACTCCTTAATTTTTAAGTCTCTAAAATTTGCTACATTTTTGTAACTATTACATCGATCTGCTTTAAAACCTTGCTTTTCTTAAGTTTTGCTCACATGCATCTCAAAACAATTTTTGAAAATTGTGTATCCCTCATACATTTTTAAGATGATTTCTAAAAAAAATTTGTTTAAATAATTGCAAAGAATATAACTTCTGACACATTGTAGATAATATTTTAGAATGAAATTTCTGTATTACTCTATTGAATATATTCAGTAGTATCTAAAATACCTTAGTGATTGAGGCCCACTGTTACTCATTCAAAAACGTGTAAACAGTTATAAATTTTACAGTATCCTTTTTCTCCTTGAATTCTTATTTCCATTCCATTTCCTTTCCAGAATGTTATAATAATGGATTATATTTGTGTTAAATCTTTAATTGATCATCTGTTATACTTCCTGGCAATAAAATACGTATACATATGTAAATTTTTTATTTCCTAGGGACAGAAGACTTAGCAGTAAACCTTTCTTTTGGATGGAGTTATTGTAATTTTTACTAGTACAAAGTCAATAAAAATAATTCTATTTTCAAATTTTGATACATATATAACCTTAAAAAAGCAACATTTTATTTGAAATATGTATCCTAATGATTGGAGCTCCTTTTTTTTTTTTTTCCAGTTAGTTTTGGATAAATAACAATTGTTAGTGTAAAACAGGTTTTGGCATCAATTGTGTTCCTATTTTTCATCTTTACAATGTAAGTACTAAGAAACCTTAATTAGAAGTAATTCTGTTAGAGCACTTTCACTCAGTTCTTTGAACACTTTCAGAATTACATTCCAAAAATTACATAATGAGGTATTATTAAAAATTATTTACAGTGCTTTCTATTCTTAAAAATTATTTTTGTGATCTATTAATTAACAGTTTCATTAGCAAATTCCTACATTTTATTAAAAGCAGAGAATTGGAAACCGTGTTGCTTACAAAAAGATTTGCTAGCCGTAGAGTCATTACTTTTCTAACGTTACAAGCAACATTTGCAGTTGAGCCCTGTTTGTTGCCCTAGATTTCTTCTAATACCCTGGGCAATCCGCTGCAGTAAGATTCTAGATAGGTGAAAGGTAGCCCTTTTTTGGTCAAGAGGGAGAAGGGTAAGTGGGAAAGAAGAATTGGCATGACATCAGGGCACAAAGAGATCATAGAAACTACTAAATGGAAATGCTAGAGATCATAGAAACTACTAAATGGAAATGCTAGGCTTCAAACACAGGGAACCTGACTCTAAAATCTGCTCTTAACTGTTATTCTGCCGTCAGTATTATATAAGACAATCGGAGAATACAAAACCAACAGGGCCATGATTCCATTTTGCCTGTGAGACATTATAGTCTCATTGGGAAATATTGTGAGCTTCATATTTATTTGAATGTTGCACTTTGAGTAAAGCTGGCTGTTTTTGTTTGTTTTAACTGCTCATATCAGAGTGACTTAGCAGTAAAGATTTACATCTTGCTGTTGGGTTGATAGTGTAGAGGGCTGGGGGGCTCTGTTCCTCACGGCAATTCAGGGATCCAGGTTCTTTCCATTAGTGGGATTCTTCACCCTTGGAATTCACCCCTGCATTCTCTGCGTCTAGCTAGAGATAGAGTACATAAAAGATAATGTGGGGTACTCTTACAAGCCTGGAAGTGGTTTACATATCATATTTCTTTTTCTTTTTTTTTTTTTTTGAGGAAGATCAGTCCTGACCTAATATCTCCTGCCAATCCTCCTCTTTTTGCTGAGGCAGACTGGCCCTGAGCTAATATCCATGCCCATCTTCCTCCACTTTATATGGGACGCCCACCACAGCATGGCTTGCCAAGTGGTGCCATGTCCGCACCCGGCATCCAAACCAGCGAACCCTGGGCCGCTGAAGCAGAACTTGTGAACTTAACTGCTGCACCACTGGTCTGGCCCCTATCATATTTCTTTGTTTACAACTCAGTCACATATACCACCTAACTCAGGGGAGCCTGGTAAGTGTAGTTTAGTTGTTTATCAAAGAGGAAGAAGAAATGGGTCTGTAAGCAACTAGCCAGTCTCTGCTACAGATAAATTTTATATCTAGAAAGACTTTCAGATTTTATGTAGATGAGAGTTACATTGTCTTATATAGCTGTTATATTAGTATGGCAGAATATACCTTTTAAAATAATTATGTCAAAAATGACTATCTGGACCTGCTACCTATAGATTGAAATCTGGTGCCTTGATTAGGAGCTGGATTTTTAGAATAGTTACACTTTTGACCATCAGCAGGATTTTCAAGGTAGCTACATCTTACTCCCCACACAGCAGTGCCATATCCAGACAGAAATCATTGTGCAGCCTTATGCTTTTATACCTCTTGACGTTGTTACAGTGTTCTAACAAAGCTGTAGTTATAAGGGTATGTCAGCTCTTTGGTGCTGTGGGCCAAGAACTACGACCCCAGGCAGGCAGGCTTCCTGTTAGTCATGATAAGAAATCTTTCAGTCCTCTTGATGATCCCTTTTAACGAATTTTGCTAATCTTTTACATTCTTTACCCATATTTTCTACTTCGATGTTAAAGCTGATTAGCAATCTTCAAATTCAAAAATTGCAGTATTTTTCTCATCATAAAGGCAAAATGAAAACGTATTTTTATCTCTTCTGTGTGAAAAGCTTGCCACGCCCATCTAGAAGCTGTTGCCATAGTCCAGTTTTCCTGAATGCTGTCCTGGCTTCATTTCTTGGACTTCTTAATAACTTCAAGCAGTGGTTTTGTTTTTATTCAATTTTCCACTTGTAAAATTAGCATAACAAGCTATAGAAGGTATGTTATGAATGTTAGAAGACATTCACACTGTTTTTAATTTACTGTATTTTTATCTTACCAGATTGCTTAATATAATAATTTCCTAAATACTCTGTACTCTGATGCATTTTGAAATTGCCATGTCTATCTCCATTAAATTAAAAAAATAATTTTGTAGGTCTGATATGGTTATATAGTCATGCAGCCTTCGTGATACATTTGAATGAAAAGTACTCTGAATTGTAAAAATTGAATCAGGAATTGAAGACATGTTTTAAAATAATTTAACTTAACTCTCTGCAGATGGTCCCTCCTTAAAAGAAACAACAGGACCCAGCCGACAGATTTTACAAGGTATGACAAGGAATTTGTATAATTCTCAGTTTTATGAAACTGGTTTCATAGTTTTGATTTGTCTGAAGTTTTCCTTTAAGAAAAATAGATAGCATACCATTTATGTTTAAAATTTTAGCCTTCCTACTGATTTTTTTATATATACAGTTAAAATATTCAGAAACTATACTGCTTAAATATAAATAATACTCATGCCAGTGACTATAGTAGCACCATAGTAGTATGTTTGCCTTTGTAGGATTATTAAATAATTTTTCCAAGAATAATATTCAATATGTATTTATGTTGTGGAAAAATTTAGTGCTAAAAATGTAATAACATCCAAACCCAAAGAATGTACACAATACCAGGAGTGAACCCTAATGTAAACTATGGACTTTGGGTGATGATGATGTGTCAATGTAGTTTCATCAGTTGTAACGAAAACTACTCTGGTGAGGGATGTGGACAATGGGAGAGGCTATGCGTAAGTTGGGATGGGGGTATTTTGGAAATCTCTGTATCTTCACCTCAGTTTTACTATGAACCTAAAACTGCTCTCAAAAATAAAATTTATTATATATTTTTTTAATGTAGGCAAAGTGAGACCTCGGTCATATCCATAGACATCAAATGATGGTACCTAAAGAGGAGCTTACCTATCATGTAAAATGATACATTACAAAATTTTACAAGCCAGGAAAAACCCAGTCTTGTCTCTGAACTATCGTAGTTTCTTTTTTGAGATGTGAACCAGTCTTTGGCTCTGAATTAGCATGTAAACTTTGTTGGCAAGGTTTCCTAATTCCCAGCTCCACTTCTTCCTGCCTTTATTAACTTTTGACTTCAGTTTGACTTTCTCAGTAGCTTGTGATCCAATCTCTACAGCGCTTCTTTTTCTCTCTGTTTCTTGATATAGCTCTTGCTTTTTATTATTTCAATATGAATATGTTCCTCCACTCTGAGGAATTTATTTCAAGAGGCTTAAATGTGTCTTCCAGTCACTAGTTTTTCATTTGCAAAATATATTGAATTGTTTTAGAATGGCATTTGCTGAAATAGCGTGTAATCATGCGTATGTAATGCATCTATATTCAATGCTATAAATTAGTCTTGATAATGAGTTTATTTTTAGTTTTGGAAATCATCACAAGCTGAGGGAAGGGAGGTTAGATTTGCCTTCCTAATTATCTTTTATACAGACTGTTGCGAAAATCAGTTTATGTTTTCTGAGTATCCATCAATTTATGGTGGCTGAAACAGCCTAGTAGGAGATAGCTGAAGGATAGGGTTAACTGCCTGGCATTAAAATTTTGTCACATAGATACTCATGCATGGAAACTGAGTTAGCTGAATTTTTCAGTTATTTGCTGCATCTTCAATGTGACCCCTGGCTTTCTAGGTTCTTGGGCAGTTAGATTATGAGTATCCTATCAGGTCTTGTAAGGCTTTCAACTTTTATATAAATTAAACATGTCTGTTTAGATTTCTTTCTTTAGTGATTTTTCTTAAGAGTTCTCGAAAGTAAGAAGGGCTTAGATAATTAATGACATTTCCTAATAAAACCAGTTTTCAGGTCAGCAAATAAGATGCAGCCAGGGACTTTTCAATCAAAGAAAAGTGAAGAGCAAATGATTCTTTTCTTTTTCCTTTCAGTGTTTAGAGCTATTTTCATTTCTGATTCTATCAAAACACTGATTAAAGAATATAAAGGTTTGAAATCATGTCACTTAAGACTTTTGAATCTTAAGGACCCTCAATCTACTTCAATGTGCATTTTCCTCCAGTCTTATTTTTAAAACTTAATGTGATCCCAATACTTATAAATCTATTTATTTCTTTGCTACTTGTGATACCCTAGAGAAAAAAAATTTTTTTCTATGAGGAAGTTTCTGGCATAATATTATTTTTGTTATAGAAAAGAGACCCATGAGCGTTTTGAAGAATTGTTATAAAGGTCAATACTCTATACAAATGAAAAGTATATCAGTTACTGAGGAGTGAGTTGTATTTGCTATAATAATTGATGTAATACTCCACAGTACCACGTGAATTGAAGCATATTTTCCTAGAGCACATTAAGGTTCCATGGGACTCATTAATAGTCTGTTTTTAAATTATTAAAAGTCTTTTCAAGTTTCAGTAAATCTATGTTTGACACTTGAGAAATAAATGCTTTGCCTTTAATTTGTCCAGTGAATAATAAAAAAGGAAAATAAGTATTTCTAAAGTAGACACATGCTTTTTACACATTAGGTATTTCTTTTCAGATAGAATAATTGGTGCTATTGAAGAATGTTCTGTTTTTAGCAACATATGGTTGAAGTTTGTTCAGGAGACAGTTTTCTTGTACGTTAAATTTTACCTAGTAAGGATCTAAATGTTAAATGATTTATTGTCTTAGCTAAGTCTTTTTAGAAATAATGTATTTTCAATCTCCTTCTTGACATTTTTTGATGGTTTTCCAGTCAACTATCAATTATTAGATGTTAATATTTAATGAGTTCTGTCTCTGATCCCACTTGTGATCACTAACTAATATTCTGCACTCAATTCTGATGGAAGGGGTTTCCCCACATACCAGCAAACAATTCTCCGACACCAAGAGGTCAGAAGTCAGGAGGGTGGGACTGAAATTTCCAACCCTCTAATATCACGTGGTTGCTTCTCCTTAGGTGTGGTCCAGAGTCACCTCATTAACATTGACTAGAGATGCCTGTGTCATTCTCATCACTTAGGAAATTCCAAGTGTTTTAGGAACTCTGTGCCAGAAACAGGGACAAAGACCAAATACATATTTCTAATTATAAATCACAGTATCATGTTACATCTAGGTTGTTGGGAAGTAGAATATCAGTATCCTACCAGTTTGATATTTAATTATTAAAAGTCAAAAATATATTTTATAGGGGCCGGCTCCGTGGCCAAGTGGTTGAGTTTGCATGCTCTGCTTCGGCAGCCTGGGGTTTTGCTGGTTTGGATCCTGGGCGCGGACATGGCACTGCTTGTCGGGCCAGGTTGAGGTGGCGTCCCACATCCCACAACTGGAAAGACCCACAACTAAAATATACAAATATGTGCTGGGGGTATCTGGGGAGAAAAAGCAAAAAAATATATATATATCTCTATATGTCTGTATATATATATTATATCCACTTTAAAATATTCAAATCCCTACTTTCATATCAAGTTTGAGCTTACCATGTAATTTTAGTTAGCAAAATCTTCAGGATAATTGATAAATATATCAGAATTAGTAGAGTTATGGTCCATAGGAAATTCTAGTCTCAGGTAGTAATAATTTTAATTCCCAGCAGAGGGCTCTGTGTGTACATATATTTGTAGTTATAAACAAAGTTTTCTCGAACAATTCTTTCAGTCTGCCGTTTTCTTCTAACAGATTATTAATTAACATCTGGACTCTTTTAACCAGAGATGAATGTGTTCAAACACTTTTTAAAATCAGCTTATTTCTCTACTTCTTCATTTATATTATACCAAAATAGTAAGGATCGTTAGAGCAAGTATAATTTAGGACAGGTATTTTAACCCTGCCAATTTGAAAAGAGAAAGATTATTTCAATTCCCAAAGGTACTATTATTTTGTTACTAAGAATCTGCATGCCTTGTGATTTTCAAATTGGTAGTTTTTAATATATAAAATCAAGAATATAGTTTAAAAAATATTTCTATTTTCAGTTGATCAGAAGACATTATTTTGATTCTGATTATGCTTTATTTCTAGGTGTATTTTTACATATTCTCGCAGATACACTTGGGAGTATCGGTGTAATTGCCTCTGCCATCATGATGCAAAATTTTGGTCTAATGATAGCAGATCCAATTTGTTCAATTCTCATATCCATGCTTATAGTTATAAGGTAAGTGTTAGTATGTTACTTCCATGTATTAAAATGGGGCGTGATAAATGTGCTACTTAAATTACAGATCTAAAATACAACTTATTATTGTGTTGGTTTCCTTTTTCATCTTCCTATTTTTCCCTATTGCCATTTATTTCTTGTCTTGGTTTTGATACTTCTTTTTGGTCTGTAATTCAAATTACTAGTAATTTTCTTGAATCCATACTCTATTTGTGGAGTAGAACATTGGCAATGTAAAATGTATTAACTATAGTTAGAATCTTATTCCTTTGATGTCTACATCTTGCACTGTCACATACAAAACAATATTAAAGTCTCTTCTTCTAGAACTATTTAATTTATAAAGTCATTGCAGAAGTCTTTTAAAAACGCTTACTAAAGTCTGCCTATGTCTGTCTCCCTGGCTAGATTTTAAAATTCTTGAGGAAAAATCTATCTCCTATCTCTTTCTGCCTCTATTGCCTACCATAGTGTCAATGTGTATACAAAAGTGTGTGTGTCTAAGTTCTCAATAAATACCTGCTGAATTAGATTGTATAGTTATTATCTCTTAAATTTATCTCATGCTGAGATACATTTTTATTATTGGTTTAATTTTTATCAGAATAATGGAATAATATGTGCCTTTATTTCACAGTCTCACATTATTTAACTTAAAAATTAATTATACATATACATGTCTTGATTGGACTGTTTTTGTTTGATTTATCTGTATGATTTTACTGTCAGTAAAACTTTCTAATGATAATGAAGACCTCCTATAGGGCAGGCCATGATGAATTTTATAGCTTGTAGTTGAATAGAATAGACTTAATAAATTACGATGAAATTATAATCATATAAATTAGTCATAAATACAGATTTTTAAGTTTTTACCTAAAAAACAGGATATACATTTTAAACATGTAGATAATTTTTTAAATTTCTGTAAATTATTTGCACTAGGAAGCAACTCTGCTTTGTAAAAGTCTTTTATAAAGCTTGGAATACCTTTACTTCATCTTTGGATATCTTATAACACTTCCTTGAAAGTTTAGCGTACACATCACACATATTCTATGAAACATCTCCTGATAGATTTGGTGACTTCCACCTGTACCTCTTTATGTTAGTGTTCAGTGTTCATTTTATTTTGTTTTGTAATATAATTTTAGCTGCTTCTAATACTTCTTAGAGTAGGATCTTAATATTCACTTGTTTTTTTTAATCTCCACTGATGGTATCCTAATTCTGCTATAATTTATCACTTGGAAGAGCTTGGCCTCTCTTTCTCCCTCTAAACTCTTCTCCACACTGTGGTCAAAGTGATCTTTCTTTAATGGAGACTATGGTGCATGGAAACATTCTCTTGCCTTAAATTCTACAGTGGCTCTTTCTAACCTTCAGGATAAAGTCCGAACTTGTTAATTGGGCTTCATGATGGTACCCATATTTCTCTTCAGTCTTTCTCTCACCCCCTCTCAATTTCTGTTCTGCTCTCCACCCGCAATAAACTACGTTTAGTTTCCTGAAAATGTGTTATGAGCTCTCTGGATTCTGGGCTTTGATCATATTTCCTCTCTCCAAAATACTCTTAATTTAATGTTTTCTCCCTTCCCCCTGCCCCCGACAAATAGATACATCACAGCTACTCATCCTTCAGATCATATTTCAGTTTAAATGGCACTTCATTCAGGAAGCATGTCCTGATTCTCCCCTTCTCAGACTGGGTTATACCTATAGCATCTTTTACTATTCCTCTCATGGCATTTACTTACTACAGTCAGGGATATGTTCTGAGAGATACATCATTAGGTGATTTTGTTATTGTGCGAACATCATAGAGTGTACTTACACAAACCTTGATCGTATAACCTACTGTACACCTAGACTATAAGGTACTAATCTTATGGGACCGTTGTTGTATATGTTGTCTGTTGTTGACTGAAATGGCTTTATGTGGTGCATGACCGTATATTGAAATAGCCTATTTTCTCTCTTAAGCTCCATGAGGGCAAACTATATTTTTATTATTGTAATGTCAGCACCAGACCCCTCCAGGCAAAAAGTTGCTATATTTTGGGTTTGAATCAAAATAAATTCGTGTTTTTTCATCCTCAGAGTTACTTTCTCTAATCCCAAATAGGGAATTATTAAAGCTGGAGACACAGGCCTGGGCTAAGAGTTTGGGTTTTATTTCAGGTGCAGTGGGGAGCCAGAGAGGAGTGGAATTATTTGATTTGTGTTTTTAAAAATCATTTTGGCTGCTGTGTAGGTAATGGATTATAAGGGCGCAAGAATGCAAAAATACAGACCAGCTAGAAAACTATTGCAGAGAGGCCATGGCGGCTTGATCTAAGGTACTCATCCAAGAGGTGGAGAGACAGATAGAATGAGAAAATGCTTTGGGTGTAGAGCTAATAAGATTTGCTTGTGGATATGAATGTTTTGGTCAGGCTAGAGTGAAAGAAGGGAATCAAGGATAATTCCTAGAGCTTTTACATGAGAAACTGAGTGGATGAAGGTGTCATTACTGAAAGAACACTAGGAGAAGAGTAATGTTTGTTTGTTTTTGAAGAGCATTGCAGATCGAAACTTCTGTTTTAGTTGTTACTGAATTTGAGATCTCTTATTAGACATTTATATGGAGATCTCAAATAGGTGGTAGACGTGTTGATATGGAGTGGGAGCACTCAGCTGAATATAAGGGGTTGGTAATAGTACACACATAGATTTACAGTCATGGAGCAGCGTTTATCTGGCATAAATGCCACAATTCCCACCCCTTCCATTTTCCTGGAAAACATCCTTCTTTTCTGCTGAGCCCAATTCAGCTTCAGGGTCCCTTTCAATATAGGGCTTCAAGTAGCCATAACTAATCACCTGCAGTTGGCTTTCAAGATGAAAACTACGTGTCATCCTTGTCTAAGTCCTACGGATTTATTTTAAAATTTTTTTCTTAGTAGTCTACGTAAATATAGTCTGAAATTTATATAATTTGATTCTTTTTCATTATTGTTAAGCTTTAACATTTTAATTATTTATTCTTTTCCTCTGTTCTGATAACAAAAGTAATACCTGTTGACTGTAAAAAACTCAAACATTCCTGAAATGTACAACTTATCTGTTAAAATGTTCTCATAATCCAACCTCTTGGAGATAAAGCAGAAAACTTTAACATAGCTTAAAATCATTTAATAAATGTTTTAGGGGGCTGGCCCCATGGCCAAGTAGTTAAGTTGGTGTGCTCTCTGCTTTGGTGGCTCGAGGTTCGCTGGTTTGGATCCTGGGTGTGGACCTACACACTGCTTGTCAAACCACGCTGTGGCGGCATCCCACATAGAACTAGAATGATTTACAACTAGGATATGCAACTATGTACTGGGGCTTTGGGAAGAAAAAAAAAGAGGAAGATTGGCAACAGATGTTAGCTCAGGGCCAATCTTCCTCACCAAAAAAACCCAAAAGCATGAAAAAAAATGTTTTAGTGCTCACTCTGTGCTAGGCAGTAAACAACATGGGCAAATACCCTACCCTCATGTAGCTTACTTTCTAATCTACTATCTAATCTACTAATAGGAGATAGGGTCAATAAAGCAATGAACATGCAAATAGATAACGGTGATAAATGCTATGAAGGGTAAGGGGATGTTATTTTAGGAAGGCTTGGAAAGTCCTCTGCATAACGTGACATTTGAACAGAGACCTTAATGATGAAGGAGAGGGGCATGGGACTATTTAGAGGAAGAGCATTCCTGGTACAGGGAAGTTCACGTAAACACGCTGAGACAGGAGCATGCCTGGCATGTGTAAGGAACAGCAAGAAGGGCAATGTAGCTGGAGTGCAGTGTACAGGACAGAGAGTGGTAAATATATGTATCTAAGAGTTCAGGGGAGAGTAGGGTGGAAGATATAAATTTGGGTGTCATTAGCTTATGTGTGGTATTTAAAGCCATGAGAAGATTGGCTGAGTTTACCCAGAGAATGAGTATCGATAGAGAGGGGAAGAGGTCTGAAGACTCAGCCCTGGGGAGGTGGGGCAGAGGAGGCAATTCCAGCAAAGGAGAGTAAAGTGGAGGGGCCAGTGAGATGGGAGGAAAGATGCAAGCATGCGTTGTTTTAGGAGCCATATAAAGAAAGTGGTTCAAAGAGGAAAGAGTAATCATAAATGCTGCTGGGACTGATAAGTGGTAACCTAGGCAAGATACGCAGAAGAGTGATGAGAATGAAAGCTTGATCAGAGTAGCTTTAAGAAAGAATGGGAGGGGAAGAAATGCAGATAGCAACTATAGTCAACTCCTTTTTAAGGCCTTTTGCGGTAAAGGGGAGCAGTGTGTTTGCCTGGCAGCAGTGAGGGCCCACTTTGAGGTTTGTGGTCATGAATTTAAAGTGAAAACGAGCAGCACAGTTGTATTTCTTTTTGCTAGTCTTGTTCAGCTACTTGATAAAAAGTATGGAATAGACAGAGAATTGGATTTAACAGGTTTGGGGTTTTGTCAGGTGAATACTGACAGAATGAGAAAGGAGCAAGGCAGGGATTATAGGAGTGAGAAATTAAAATTTAGAGGTAATAATAGATGCTAAAAAAGAAAAAAAAAGTGATAGGGTCAGTGGATTGGAGTTCTGGAGAAGTGTTAGAGTGGTGGGATTAGGGAAAGAGATCCAGAAGTAGGAAGCGTTGTTCAGATTGTGAGATGCTTGAAATTGAGATCTTCAGGTCTAAGGTATGATCGTAGGGGTGTATCTAGGATAAGATCATCATATAGAGGCCAAGTGTTGGATGGATTGTCCACATGGATATTTAAATTAAGAGTAATGAAAAAAGGGGTCAGCCCAGTGGTGTAGTGGTTAAGTTTGCTCACTCCACTTCAGCAGTTCAGTGGCCCAGGGTTTGTGGGTTCAGATCCAGGGTGTGGACCTGTGTACCACTCATCAAGCCATGCTGTGGTGGCATCTCACATACAAAATAGAGGAAGATTGGTGCAGATGTTAGCTCAGCGACAATCTTCCTCAAGTAA